GAGGATGGCCAACGTGTTGTTTTCAGTACTGTGGCTCCTGATCCTTATATTTATTGGATTTTGGATAGCATCAATTGCAGCTGGACTATACATTCTGCTAATACCATTCACAGTATGCATAGAGCCTTTAACAGTAAGTACAACAGCATTTAGTATTTCTTTTTTATTATTAGCTCACACTAGAGATGTCAATTAAAGGAGAATGCTCATGGATGTATGGACCGCCGTACAATGGTTGCATCAATACCAAACAAATGTTAAATGATCGTTTAATATTCAAATTAGTATGACAAATTGGAATTTTGAAAATAAAAACAGGGGTTTTAATGTTATTGTAAAAAATGTGACATAACCTCAAATCCTTAATAACTCCTATTTAAAGTTGGTTTACAGCAATTTTGGGTACTTTTTTATTCTGTTACTTTTGATCAACTTGAGTCTTTCACTGTTTTTCCAACCTACTGCATAGATTTTCATGACAACACAGATTTCAGTGATGGCAGATTTACGTATAGGTAAATAAAAACATTAATAAGACACTTTTTATTAGATTACATATATTAATTGTACACATTATATTTGAATTACCAGTATATTTCAAATCAACATAATCTTCATGGAAAAAATAATCTAAATAAGGCGCCAGAGCAGTAACATCATTGTAACGACCCCAACTTAAAAACTAAACTACAGTCATTATGTGGTCCTAACAGCCCACAGGTTGTTTACCAATGAGACAGCTGCAATAATAACCTTTTATAGCCTCTAATGTGTCTGCCAAAGCAGCATCTCTACTGATTAGTAAATATGAGTTATATGTACGCTGCTTAAGTATCTGGATTTAATCCTACCTCTTAATAAATAATTATTTAGACCTAAAGCAAGAGGAATATCATCTACAAACAAACAAATTCAAACAATTTCTAGCTTTTGTCTTACAGCGTTCTAATGTAGCTCCAGGATTATTGAAAAGAGTGGCCAATCTTTCGTTGCTATCAGCAGTTCTTAATTTAACTAAATAAATACAAAAGGCTATAGAAGCGTTTGGCACTTGATCTGCTAGATTGGTATACAGTTGAGCAAATTATAAAACTGTTCAGAGTTCATACCAAGCCAATAATGACATAAATGAGGAGACATAATTGAAATATTAGAAAAATCTAATTTGTATAATGTAATGATTATGATACAGCGATCAGCCAATTCGCTGTATCATAATCATTACATTATCAAACTGTGTGCCAGTAAAATCTCTTAATTAAGATGTTAATTCATTCCATGAACCATAATTCAAATAGTGATGACAAACACATGCACCAGCTGGTATGCACAATTTATTATTATACAATAAGAGATTCCTGATGGTAGATGAAATAAGTAGACATTCAAGCTCTAAACAATTTTCAAATACACAGTGACCAGGAGAGTTAGCAGCATGTATGATGATGATGATACAATTTTTAGAGTCACTTGTTGAACTGCTTCTAGTCTTGGTTGTGGCAGAGGAGATGGCACAGGTATAGAATGATTGCCACATAATGTAGTATCTCCAAGAGTAAGGCGATTTGAGTCATGTTGTTGTTGCTTTTGTACTTGTTGAGTTGCTGATCTCCAACATGCAGCACATACATGTTCCATTCTTGAGATCTAAAATATAACATTAATAAGAAATGAATAATTAATATGGAAAATTCCTTTTTGTTTATTTTAAAATAACAGTTTGATAGGTCTCAAGTTAACTCTTGCAAGTTATAAAAGTTAAAATATGATGTATACAAATCAATGTAGGAATTTCTGTATTCTCTCATCATCTATTAGCTGTCTAGTGATAACAAAACAAATAAAAGAAAATCTAAATATTACCATGATTACTATAAACATTTTAGTTCTAGATTTGTAATTATGTATGATATGCAATAATAATACACAGTAATAATAGCTTTCTCATAAGATTGTGATAGTAAATGATTCCTAACCTAAGTATCTAGAACTGTTATTACTTTTTTAAGAAGTCAAACAAAACAGTTAATATACTTATATTTCATACAGTTAGTTGCACATGACATTAGACAAACAATATTAGCTCACCTGAGTAGGAATTATCCATGACTATAATATGTTGAGGGCTAAACTGTTCTTCTACAAAAAAATATCAAGTATCACCTCTTGGGCCCTGGAAATACAGTTTTACAATACACTGGTTTAACCAGTCAAATAGTCTAATCGTCATCGGTTCCTCATTTGAAGTAGAATACATTTTTAATGTTCTTAATGCGTGAGTAGAGAACACTACAAACACACATACGGTAAATAAACGTCCTGTCGTGAATGCACTGTTTTTTTCCTGAAAACGTCTTGCCTGTCTTAACAATTCAGAAACAAAATCGTTTGATACGTTCACACGCAATTATTATCACTTCACAATTTATGTAAAAAACTCAATCAACACAAAAATAGGAGTAACAACAAAACATTTGACAATTCCCCACTCATTTGCATTTGCAATAGGGTTATAGGGTAGGGTGATGATGATCTGACATTGAATATACGAATAATCGTTGAATTGAAAAAAAAATGTTTTTGTTTAAAATCGATTTTACGCAATGAATAAATCAAATCAGATACAAATAAATCCAGATTCAATTAATTAATAAACAGCATAGAAATAAATATAATTAATAGTTACTACTTAGTTAATGATGAAATCGACAGTTAGGTGAGCGCCTTCTATAAAAACAACGATTAATGATTTCCGCGGAATTAACCTTCTTTAACATTATTAATACGTGTCGATTTTTTAAACTTAGATTCGAATACCCCGGCTACACGTTCCGTTTTACCTAAGAGCATGCCTGCACAGATTAACTAGCCTCTCTTTGTCGTCCGTCCCTCTCTAACTTAGATACATTTATGGACGTAGAACAGGACGCGGCACAAGCCAATGTACAATTATTGTATTTTGCGTTATAAGGCCTTTAGACTACGTAGGCAAGACAAAGCGCTGGGTAAGCACGTGACTCTTTTTGTCCGACTACCTACATGCTCGACATTTAATCATTTTCATCTCTATGCTTAACACGTTACATTCAGTAAGTAGACACTACATACAGCAAGGGACGTGATAGGAAAGTGTCGAATTAAGCCAAGCGACGGATTACTGAATGCGACGTATTAAGCATAGAGACGAAATAGATAAATGACGAGTTGTCATCGCAACAGTTAAGACAATAAAAACGTAAAATCACTATTAAACAATAATTAGTAACACGTGATTTATTTCCTTTTTGGTGGTCCACTCATCGGTAACAAAAACAAAAATCGATTATAATGTATAACTAATAGGGTACTATGGCATCCCTATTTTTACGATAAATAAACAAACGTCAGATATCCGACTCAAAATATAAACAGTATTATGACTAATATTATTTCTAAAATTATTCCCTGTTCAAAATAGCCATTCTGATAGACCATCGTACGTATAAATTAAAGAAAATAATTATCATAATAATTTTATCTTGAGGCATGAGACAAAGCTGTACCAAATATGGGCATTCTCCTTTAATGCTTATCAGTGACATCTTGTCTTATCCTATTACTATCGCAAAGAAAGTACCTAACAGCACCAACTCTAATCAAAGAAAAAGAATGTTTACGTCTTCGAGTGCAGCTGTAACGTTTAGAATCCTGTAAATATACATACATGTACGTGAAACACACGGAGTAAGCGTAGCAAAACCTATGTCCATGGTGAAACATCATGATTGCCATGGACTGTTTGGCATGATGATTTATGGGCGGATCACCATTTAAGATGGTTTCCACGATCAAATGAGTAAAACATTTTTAGGACTTTTTCCTACCTAAAATTAAATTAGACAGCAGTGTATCCTTGTCATTCTATGTACAGATTAAAGAGGAGAGACTGATGTTAAATTTAGTCTTAAGTTTAGAGAATCATGCCAGAATCGACACCAATATCTGTAAACGAAGAAAGCGAGGTGACTTTTCCGTGTTTAATTTATCTATTATCTATAATTATTTATTTGTTATCTATCGGGTGGCTTTAGGCAAGTTTAGGTTACAACACTAACTTAACCTAACCCACTGTGAGTTGGTCAAACGTTTATTGATATGTAACTCATTCGGTGAAAATTATAAAATCCCTCCGCCATTTTATATCAAACTGAGTGGGCTAGGTTAAGATAAATACAGGCCAAATGTTTTTGTTCTATACATTGCCAGTGGGCCAGCAGGTACTCTATACAATCCCTAGGAATTGTATACATTACCTAAGCAAAGTATAAAATGTAAAATAATATTACATAATAATATTTCATACATTGCCTAGATGCCCGCCCCAGGCATTATATACATTGCCTTGGTATTGTATAGAAAATCTGCATTATACAGCATAACGCAAAAAAAACAATTAATAATTATTTAACTATACATTAAGTTATGCAATGAAAATATTCGAGAAATTTATAAGTACATATTACATTGTTAACAGGGTTTAACGGACTTCTTGCTGTCGGTAATACAATTTCCAAGATACTGCGCTCAAGCTATGATGGAGGGTAAAGGTTTTAATTAGACTGTATCTCTTAAGTCTAGTCAAGTGACTTTGATTACATTGTCTTCCCTTCAGTGCCATATATATGTACCTATATTCATTATATTATCAATAGGTAAATATTAAGAATAAGAATTTCTGGCAAATACTACTTACTAATAAAATCAATGGACTATTCATATTAATGCACAATAAAAGAAACATAATTAAAATACGCTTTTATTTATGTACATTACAATGTAAAACCGTTAACTTAGTGTAATATCGTAAACATGCAACAAATGTAACTAATTTTAAGTATTTTAATAAACAATTAAACTTAAAAAATATTTTAAACTTTTCCAACTCCACAATAATTCATAGATCATCACTTTTAAATGCATGCACTCGTTCACATGTCACAGTCATAGCTTACATTAAGCACTCATTCACATGTCACAGCTTCCAGCACAATGTTGACCGACTCCAGTAGAAATAACCCCTGTTCTATTCTTTTGCCAATGACTGTCCTAAAACAAATTGAAAAAAAAAATTATTTTAAAATATGATAAACTAGCGGACGCGACAGGCTCTGTTCTGTCTACTCGATCAAAATATAAAAAAGATTGTTAATTTGCAGAAATCCTTAAAAAAAATTAAATTAGAATAGTCATTCTTATGTTATGGCCTGACCAAGGGAAATGGTGGCTCATGTTTATATATAAATTATTAGCTGCGTTGTAGCTACTTAATTTAGTGAAACTCTTTTATTAAACGCTGTCAGGTTTAACAGTAACGTTAAGTAGAGTATATCAGTATTAAGTTTCATAATATCAATCGTATCATTTAATCAATATTGCCTCATAACAACTGAAATCTAAAAATAAAAATGACAATGAAAGATAAAGTTACTCATATTCTAAACTGCGAATACAAGACAATTGTTATTATTAGTCTAAGATCCGAACCTAAATCGACCTTCACCGAGCTGATAATAGAATTTACAGATTACATTTACTGAAACATAATATTTAATCATGAATTAAAAGTATATTAGAAAATATGTTACAAATGGGTTTGGCGAAAAAATTCTGGACAGCTTGTTTAAAATTAATGAAAAAAAAACGATTTTTAATTAAATGTTGCAACATCAAGATCATGGACTTATAAAAAAAGGCGGACAGAGTCCCGGTAAACAATAAACTGTGTCGCTCAGAGTCGGCCAGGTCGCTGTACGTACAAGCCGGCACGCACACATTCACACAATAGTCAGCCACTACGCGTGCAAACGTCAAAGCAGCCGACACGTTACGTGGAGATAAAAAATAAGCTAAACAAGATATCTTGCTTGTAAAAAGGTGTAAAAACCGTAGTGACCGAAAGAAAAAAAATCCAGGAATCACGTTTCATAGGTAAATGAATAATTGAATCACTTTTTTCTAGTTTTTAGAAATCGAAATCAATTTTAGTTCTAAGGACAAAATGATTAGTCAAAAGCCCAGTGTTGCCAATGTTCATGTAACCATATTACCTAAAATATGGGAAATTGGGTTTGAAATTAACTTCAATCTATTATTTATTATTCTTTTTTATCAGATTTCCTAAAGAAAATGTAGTATGGAGAAATTACTGGAAAATTAATGATTTCCAAACAAATATGTAGTAGTGTCATTTTTAGTCTTCATTTTGAAGCTCAAGACTTATATACAACTAAAGGAGGACTCCGGCGTGTTATTACGTATGCATTACCTCAAAAGGTTGATTAAAATTTTTAACCGACTTCGAAAAGAAAGAGGTTCGCAATGCGTCATATTTGTTATTTTTTTATTGTTGTTCACGCAAATCTCCGAGATTCGTGGACCGTTTATGATGATTCTTTTTTGTTTTAATCAGTTTACTAGCGAGATGGCTGCATATTAATTTACTGGAGATCTGATGAGTAATTTCGGAGGAAAACAATGGAACTCCTCAATTACAAACAGCACTCAATGGGTGTTAGTTTATTTTAAGAAATATGAAAGAGAATGCAGGCCAGGCCATCTATATTTAGTTGATTTACCCAATTTTAAGAAAATTCGATACATTCTAGAATTTCTAATGAGTCCCGACTGTTAAAGTAACTTTGTTCCTTATTAAACAGAATTCTAGACTACTGGACTTGTTTTTTTCTTTTTAGTACATTTTTTTTATTTTCGACATTTTAAATTCATTATTTTTTAATTACAAGAGTTGTATATTTTCTAAATATTCTTTTAAACCCTTCACTTTGATACCTCGCTTGACGGGTTATAAAAAAACTTATACTTTTTTTTCAAAATGTTTCATTTTGGCGCATAAAATCTGTTATTTTGATTTTTTTGAAATTTTAATATACCGAGTGCCACTCACACAATCACGACAAATCAAATGATACCTCGCATGTCAAAATCCGTCAAGACGTTCAGGCTGTAGGGCGTGCCAAATTATTGGACATACATACATACATGCATACATACGCTCGAAAAACATTATCCTCCGCAGTCGGGCAAAAAGTAAAATTTTGAACAATCAAAATATTTTCATGTTTTAACTGTGTTTTATTGGTAAAAAATTGGCTAACCTAGCAACCCTACAATTCACTCACTCATCAATAGCAGCCGCCATTACGGTGCCTCAGTATTGTTTTAGCCGAAACTCTGTCCGCTTTTTTTTATACGTCCATGATCAAGATAATAAGAAAAATTTGTCCTGACTTAAAGTATAAAACGTGTAGAATATGCAGCCGTTGGGTTGCCTATTATTTACCTGGGCGAAATTTTTTTTTGACAGAGACAGCCGAGGTAAGTGTACTGTGTATTAATAAAGGACTCAACATCGCAGTCGCCTGTTATGGGACCCTGAATATTAGAAAGCGGGCATGCTCGGTATGCAAACTATGGAGGGTAGAAGGACCTCCGCTGCCCTCCATATAGAAACTGCACAGCAGCTTAAGGCTAGGAAAATTTCGACGCGGCCATCAGGGCCGTGGTAGCATAATTGGTCAGTGCATTCGCCCGGATTGCAAAGGGTGCGGGTCCGAGTTCAGTCCGCTGCCTGGTCCGCGAGAAAATATTTGTTTTTTTTGTTTGCAATGGATAGGCTACGAAACTGCTGGACCGATTTTAGAAATTATTTTACATTTAGAATCCCATATTATCCCTTATAAACCATATGCTATAGAATATTTTGAAAAAGGTTAGGGATCCGTATGAAAACTTTAAAAATGTAACCCAACTTGTGAAAAAATACCAAAAAGAGACGATCGCTTACGCTGCGGAAATTAATTATTGACAATAGAATAGAGCAGTGATCTACTTCAGTTTTATGGAAGACATAGTTTGTTTTGTTTGATGAAACGCGCTTATCTCAGGAACTATTGATATTTTTCATGATAAAATACCAACTTTAAAAAATAAAATATTTAGAATACTGGGAAAGTAGATACTTAACTGTTTAATATTATTGTTAATAAAATTAGTTTGCCAATAATGGGTCTGGTACGTAAGGGGTTCTCTGAACTTACGACAATATTAGGCAGTGTTCTCCCCTTTTAAATAATTATAGAGCATGATAGACTGTCGTGATTGTTCTGTGATTGGGCAAATATTTGTGTTGTGTAGTAAATTCCGTATGTAGAAAATGTAAAAAGAAAAACTGTTTACAGTTTAGCGCATGATGAGGCCATCTTTAATTACAGTTATATTATATCCTAATACGTAAGCATATGTGTAAGTTTGTTTGTATTAATATAGCTACTGGTTCGTATTGTAACATCTTTTTATATTATATAATCTATTTATCGAGGAAGGCTATATCACGCTACGAATAATAGGAAAGGAGCAACAATGAAGAATCCTGCAAAAGCGGAAAAAAGTATTTCTTTTCTGCGTACGCATGCTCTCAAGCTGCGGTTAGTTACGTTCATCAAGTTGAAAGTAATCAGCTTCAAAAATTCTAAATAAAGTCCGCGACATCATTAATATGGTTATTTTTTAAGGTAGAGTCACAAAAACTTTTTACTCAAATTAACGCGGGTGAAAGAAAGATAAAACGGAAGGATGTTTATACACACATCAAAAGTGTCTAGGGATCAACATATATTTTTGCAATAACTTTTCTCCTGATTGATATTAATTAAAATTTTCTTTAAGGATTCATCAAATAAAGTGTTTTCGTTTGTCACAGTAACGATAAACCAAGTCACCTTTGCATTAATAAAGAAATTTGCCATTTTCCTAATAAAGGGATTTTTGACATTTGAACCACTAACACAAAAGTTCGAAAAAAAGACTGAAACAACAGTTTTCTCTAAAATTTTATTGGGTAACTTAAACAATTAATAATCCGTATTTCTACCGCGAACACTAACAACACAAGAACATCGGTTTGGCATACTCAAAATGAGTTCATCCAAATCACGCTGTGGAATGGCCGCCCATGTTCGTTGCAACAACAAAAAAAGGTCTTCTTGCGACTGGATACCCTCCATATTCGGCAGAGCTCTTCTCTGTAGCATATCCCATGCATGCTCAATCGGGTTCAAGTCTGGCGACTGAGCAGGCCAGGGCAGGACATTGATGTTAGCTGCGGCGAGAGTCTGTCTTACAACTCTTGCGGTGTGCGGTCGTGCATTATCATGCATTAACTGAAATAAGGGACCGATTTGCACTTGTAGAGGAACGATGACGTCTGATACAATCGTCTCAGCATAAATTTGAGCGTTGAGGTTGCCTCTGATCCAAATCAACTCAGTTCTTCCGCCGATCCAAATACCCGCCCATACCATGATGGTTCCACCACTATAAGGATGGACTTCCTGGCAGGATTTTAATCGCTGTTGGCGTCCAGAGGTTCTCCAGTGTCGTATACGTCTTGTATCCGGTCTCATACCAAAACGAGACTCATCAGAAAAGCACACGAAACGCCATTGTTCTTCTGCCCAATTTCTGTGTTCAAGAGCCCATTGATATCGAATCCTACGATTGTGCATTGCTATAGGTGGTAGCGGTCTTCGGGAATGAAGGTTCACTTCATGCAAGCGGTTTCTGACTGTTTGGTCGCTAATTAAGTTCCCTGAAGAGTGATGAAGCCTCACGGCTAACATCATGGCGGTTATTGTTGGAGCTCTTCGAGTTAAGATTTGAATGTATCGGTCTTGTCTCCGTGTGGTGCAGCGATACCGTCCTCCATGGCGCTCAGCCACGGTACCAGTGCTTCGGTATCGTGTCCAAAGTCGACTGATAACACTCTGACTTGTATTCAGAGCTAAAGCCACAGTACGTTGCCGGGAACCAGCTTCTATCATTCCCACGGCTCTGAGCATTTCTTCCCTGCTTAAATGACGTCGCCGCTCCATAATAACGTTGGTTTTAATCAGTAGTAGGGAAACAGTAGCACTAATAATGTCTTCAATGCGTTGTATGTTTTTATAGGGAAAATATTGACAGCTGATTTTCATCTTTTACTCGAATTTGATTCACAGTTCCTGATTCAAATTATGAAATGCACCAAAAAGGATCCATATAAATTTATAAAATCATAAATTTATTACAAAGCCACATCTCAATCTCAAGAAATCCGCATAAAAATGCTTGATCCCTAGACACTTTTGATGTGTGTATGTATAGATTAGACATTTCTTACCTATAGTCAGCCGCCTGGCAGGAATCCAGACTAACGCCAGCCTCATTAAGTATTGTGAGTATGTTAGCACCGCATTCCATGTCCTCGCGATTGTAAATACTGGGAAAAGATTGTAACAATAATTTTTGTACTTCATCATACAATTAAAAATTGCGCCAATAAAGGACACGAATCGAAAATGTTACAGCTCTGTATATTCAGGCGCTGCGCACACGTGGAAATTTGTCTTATGTAGGATACAAACTACCAATGAAATTTTAATTTTGAAGTTGAAGACACAAGCAACATTAAAAAAATCCTTGCAATAGGCTAGTTTACTCATGTCAAATTGTATTAAATAAATGTTTATTTCTTAAAGTATTTAGTCTAAGGAACCTTAATATATCGATTTCACTTCATAAAAGCAGAAGATTGCTGTAGAAATTTAATTTTAAAAAATATTTTTTAGTCTATATTTTTTAAACACTAAAAACGCTGTTCGCCACATCCGCCATGATTTTGACGTCTCTTCTGGTAAACAACTAAATGTCATTCGCGTGTTACTGTAGGTGGATTCTTTCGTCTGACTAAATTTATCATAAAACACTTTTAACTTTAGGAAAGAAAAAAACAGTAAACTTAGTTTTTTTTTGACAAAACTAATTATGGATGCCGGCTTTGTGAAAGCAGAAAGCACAAATCTGCCAAGAATTGACGCATTGATGGTTGGTAAATTTGTTGCACTAAACCCCGATTTCTGCTCTGCGGAGCAGAGAAACGACAAGGTATCTATGTAAGTACAGTGCATTTAGTATTACAATGTAGTAATAAACATAAAACTGATACAACATATGAATAAGTGTAATAAAGTTGCGTAGGTTAATTTCTTTCGGCACTTTAATCGACAACTTTCCTGGAGTCTTCAAGGATGTGTTTTTATATTCTCGTACAATACAGTAATGATAATTACTTTATTTTTCGTGGTATTTATTAGAAATCATGTTTTTGTTTATTATAAACTCAGTTAAAAGTAATTTTCTACGTGTTTACGAGTTTTTGTTTACGACAGTTCACGTCATAGCATAGATAATCTATAGACTAAAATGGCCGACAGCGTTTTTGTATGTCCATGAACAGTCTATTTTAAAATTAAAGATTTGTAGCTTTCTAGGTTTAAAAAAAATACAATACATTTTTTTTCGGTCTAATAGAACATTAATTAACCATTTAAAACCTTTTTCCAAAAAGGGTCAACTAGCCTATTGTACCATATAATTTACACAAGCAGCAAAGATAATGTTTCTTCATCGACGCCCATCGTGAAACTGACTTAAAATAAGCAACGAACTGTACCTGTGACCAGAAGAAAGTAAGTAAGCAGAAGTAGTGACCGCTGAATGTGTCCGATTCGCCGCTACCGGGCACAGCAACTACAGTTTCCTGTGATGATGTGCCGTGTTAGTAACAATTGCCTTAACCATACTGGCCACTTGAAAATGGGATTCCAGTAAAAGAAGGAAAAATCAAAGAGACGCGTTCATTTTGAACACACAGTTATAATTAATTTATGGGAAAATCAATGCTGGACATTTTAAGAAAACGTCGCTATGTAACGTTCTATCTCTTCAGTTATGACATGAAAATGTCATAAAATATTTTGTCTTGGAATATTTACCCTTCACGTTACAGTATATGAATAATAAAAATAAAATAATAGGACCTCGTCGCAAAATCTCATCGGGAATAGGTCGAGGAAGTTGTTTAATGCCCTTTAGGTAGGTACTATAGTCACGTAGTAGTCCATCATGCTTTTTTTCTTGTAAGGTTTTATGTAAGCTTAACATGGGGAGATATACGGGTACTCGAATATATTTTTAAAAGTAAGTCCTGATGTCTATGTCTCCCCGATCAGGGGCCATCAGGGAAACGGGAGTCCATAGGGCAGAATCCTGCGTCGCCATTTTCGATTCGTGTCTTTATGGGCAAGTTATGTAATGCTAATAAAACAGACTACGCAATTTTACCTGTTTAGAGATTCGAACAAATTATTAAGATGCACTCGGGCATTTTCTGCTCGTTCTTGAATTTTTTGTCTTCTGTCAGGACTTAATGGTTGAGATGCAATCAATTCTTCACGAGTATTGTTGCTATTATAAAAAATAATTTTGTTTTAATAAAATTAGTCTTGCAGAAAAGTTAATCTTACAACAACAATTTAATTTCAATTCATTCTTGTTTCTACAATTTATTCAACAGGCATCCTTTACAGGCTAAGGCTTCTAATTGTGACCACTGAGTCAAAAAAGGAATTTGTGATGTTTACAAATTGTCTAAGAACTTCATTTAAGTTAAATATTTAGTTCATTAAATAATGTCAACTCACCAAAAATCGCGAACTTGTAGCAAAACCTGTTGCACTTCATGTACAGTTTTATTTATAACCCACTGAGAGTCGTTAATAGCATCTTTTTCATCAAGCTTTCCTACGTCGTCATGATCGATATTCATATCGGGCAAATCTTCGTTATCATTAATATAATAATCGTAATTATAGTATTCATCATCATAATATTCATCCTCAGTGTAATCTAAGGAGTCTAGATCTAACACTTCTCTTTGTTTACTACGAAGGCGCTCTTCAAATACTGCATCTATATTAAAACGTCTAATAATTTTAGGCTCTGTGGTGTTCTGGTTTGAAGTAGAATAGTTTGGATTTTCTATAATATCTTCTTCTACGGAATTTTCGACAGATTCGTTCAAAATATTAGATTGTTTTCGTTGAAGATTTAAACACGAAAAAAATGTTGCCTCTTTATCTATTGTTCTGATAAATTTTACGCACGGTGGCGATTCTATTTTCTGAAATAAAATGTATGTTAAAGCTTATGATATTTAAGTGTTTTCTTAAGCAAAGAACAAGTTTAATTGACCTCCCATTATTAATTTAAAATAACTTTAATAAGCAAGAGAACATCTGCACACGCTGCTTACTTCTTCAGACTTGTTTTGGTTGGATCTCAGATTATAACTACGTCCATTTTTTGCGATAAGTTCACCAGATCTGTTATCTGATATAACAATGTTGCTTTTTGTTATATTGCTAGTACAAGTACTGTCTTTCTCAGTGCTAGCTAGAAAAAAAAATAATTAATTTAGTCTCGATAAGGCAAACGAGCTACAAGCACGAAAGGCATTTGACAATAGTGGCAAGATATATTATACACATAATGCCTCTCTTTCGACTACTTATTGAGCTAAAATTAGCGTGCATGTTTTCGGCGCTAACTACTTTATAGTATAATAACTTTATCGTTTCCCAAAACCCCTTTAATGTTTGTTGAAGAACCGCCAGTCAAGCTATCGTCACGCAGCGTCGAGGGTTCGTTACGATTGAAATTATATATAATTAGGATGCCAATTTAAGCACTATAAGTAGTCAAAGCTTCATTGCGCAGGTATTGGAGAGGTACTAGTGAAAAAACACTTACTAGCACTACCACAGAATGTAACATTAGCAGATGGATCTTCAATGTTATCGTTGAAGGAATCATTGTTGACACCGTAACTGTCAGCACTCTGAATGTCAGCTAATAATTTGGCAAGTGAATCGGCTGCTATTTGAAGATCTTCGCAATTGTCAATCGCTGTCTGGGTAAAAAATGGCAACACTTATTGAATAATTTAAGTTAAAAGCCAAAAAAAATTAAACTTACATTAACCCATAATGGTAAGGCATGGCACCAAAATTACTAAACAGAATAATATAAGGCCTTCTGTCTGCGATCATGAAAATTAATCCACTTTAAACTTTTAGAATGGCCGATCAAATGAATGAAAGCCGATGAATGATTTTGCGAGCATAAACAACTTTTCAATACGATACAATTTTAACACGCGATATGATATGATAAGTCAATATTTACAATGTTGCCAATGTGATAATTTTCTTTAATCATCATCCAGTGACTTTATTTCTATATATTTTTTTATTCCTCATAAAAGGATATATGCCGATAGTAGTTTGGCTAAGGCATTGACATAAGAGCCCTTTTACAAAATTACGCCGCTTCCGTACTGATCGGCGCGTAGGTAGATTTGCACTAGTATATATTGCATTTTACGGGTGATGTTTCGAGTCCTATAAAATAATTATTAATGAACTAATTCTAAAAATATATACATATTTTAGTAGTTCAATGGTAGTAGATTAGTTTTATAAAAGTTTTTGATAGTAATTCTATTTAATTCAATATCAAAATACGAGGTAAACCTGCTTTATTTTTTGAGAAAACTCACGGAGGTTAGATGTTTTTTTTTTGATAATTAATGAGATGGAAAATGAAAATTCTAATACATAATGTTACAACAAAAACATATTTCTGATGTCGTAGTAATTAATTTGATCTAATTTATTGATCATTATTGAGAGATTGAGGCGTTTGAAGTTGTACATATTATCGTTTTTTTCCGTAAACTAGCTGCAGTAGAACAATCAGTACAAAAAAAGGAAAATAGTATTTGCAAATATTCTCCATTAACTTACAATAGAAAGAATAAGTCTACTGTTTACTTCTATTGGAAATAATCAAAAAAGAATCTAAGTGGGTAAACGAGGCGCTCAAACGTTACGATTTTTTGCAAAAACTGTGAAAGGGCTCTTAAGGAATTTGAGGAGGCAATTCGTTTTGCAACGACGAGCACAAAAATTTTACACTTAACAGCTCAATAGGAACTCATTTCGGGGAGGAGAAAATAATCGCTTCTCGTGAACGTCTTCTCTAATTTCCTTCTCCACTGCGGTAAGTAAATGCAGTCCAATATAAGAAGTACAATTTTACACATGCATGCTGTGCTAATGTAAAAGACTTATTCGTCAGATTAATATGAAATAAATTTGCCTTTTATAAATCCAAGATAACTCATAATCGTGCATTTCGATCGTCATCGACAAAAAATTAAATGATATATTTGCTATGATAAACGACAACTATCTACCAAAATTAGTCATGCTCGTTAGTATCAATATGAAACCGATGACCATACTCACTATTTTATTTATCTTATCACATATGTATCACAAGCGTTATGCTCGCTGTTTCAATAAAAATTGAGGTAAGTAAAGTATTAAATCGTTATATTTTTTTTAATTTATTTTTTTGAAGTATGTAACTGCTTGATGTTTAAATCTGAAGGAAATATAACTAGAAAAAATTCTACGCGGCTGGTGGAATTCGTTCTTCTTAATGAAAATAAGTCCCGCCTGCTGCCTGGTCCGCGTGGAATTTTTTCTAGTTATATTTCCTTTAGATTTAAACATCAAGCAGTTACATGCTTTAAAAATAATAAAAAATATAACTATAATTGCTATTTCTTCTTTCAAATGTTTAATACTGTAAAAGTATTCATTTGACATTGTGGGTTACCTATAATGCGAAGAGATGGCGCTGCCTTGCAGCTTAAGAATGGCTAGAGGAATTTCGACGCGGTCCGTGAGGGCCGCGGTAGCATGATTGGTCAGTGCATTCGCCCGGATTGCGAAGGGTGCGGGTTCGAGTCCCGTCTGCTCCCTGGTCCGCGTGGAATTTTTTCTAGTTATATTTCCTTTACTATATCGTTGTTTTACAGTTAATGTCGATAAATGGATGTATCATATCTTATTGATTATAAAGGCTTTTATTTTGACAAGATTTTTTGAACCTAAAACTAAATTTGACAATATAACATCCTTAACGTGTTCTACAAGAAGAGAATAAACGATGAGATATTTCTGGCAAATTTAGTTTTAAGTTTAGTTAGAGAGTCAAGCCTATTTTCAAACCCATTTTTACGTTTACTACAAACCTGTAAAGAGTCTACCAAGTACACGCCGTAGCTATACATTTCCATGAATGAACTTGGCTTTAACCTAGCATTTATGACTCCTGAAAAAATAATAACCATCGATTAAATCAGTAAAATAACATTGCAGCCTCTTCTTTTTATTATAAATATTGTAAGTCCAACAGCTTCTTAATGAAAATAAAATGAAGTTTTAAGATATTATCATATTTAATTTTTTGTTTTCAAATTGAAATTTTTGTTAATTGTAACAAGAGTCCAAAATTACATTCAATATTAGTGAAAGAATAAACAGGTTTGCTTACCCCTTTCGTTACTATTGTGGTATAATATTTCTGTTAGTTTGCTTGCAGCATCCCTTATATCACAATCTGCGTGAAACTTTTTCTTTATGCATTCTGTTGCTTCATGCAATGTCCACGGAGGTGGTAAACTGCGATGATTAAATGACGGATTTAGACACAATATTTGAGTTAGTATCTCTTCCATTATTTGAACAAATCTAGATAACCATTCATCCGTTCTCATTTGTAAACGTTCTTCCATTATTGTATTTTCAACTTCGAACATGACACATTTATTAGTTTCCTGATCATTATATTTGTCATTTGTTGAGACATTTTGTTTTAAACTATGTAAACTTTCAGAGTCGACATTACTTGCAGTGTTTGAAATAATACCCGAAGTAGAAGTTTCATCAACAATTGTTTTTTTAGTAATGTCTTTGTAACTGAAACATGGACCATTTGTAGTATCACTGTAATTATCGTCATAATTTTCTGTAATTATTTGATTATTTTCTTCCAATCGATTGCAAAAAGAGGGATCGTTTGGAGTCTCATCAATACCTAAAGTTGTTAATTCATTCGGTTTATTAACAACAGTGTTAGCAACATCTGTGTTTGTTTCATTTGATTCCGTAGGTGTTTCTACAACTGTGTTTTTTCGTCTTCGCCATTTGTAATGTTTTTTCTCTGTATTATTTTCAGCGATACTTGGTAATTGTTGTGGTATATTACGCTTTAATCGAATCTCCCGTCTTTTAGCAGGGGTTACAGTTTTACAATCTGAGTCAGAATTATGTGAAATATTTCTGACCTGCCCACTTGGTTGAATCGATGTGTGGTTTGTATCAATAGAGTTTTTGTTAAAGTTGACAGTAGCAGGTTTTTCAATTTTATCTTCTGTAAAATCAAATTCTGTTTGGACGCCCATTTCCAAAGTATGTTTTCCAATATTCACTTCATTTTCGTTTGTTTCTTTTTGGGAAGTAACATCACTAAAGTTATTTTCATTAGAGGTATTATTGTGGATTGTTATATTTATAAGACTTGTTTCTGATTGATTTTTTAAAATAGATTTGTTTTCTAATAATTCTTTGATATCTTGAATCATAAAAATTGGAATGCCGATATTATTATAACCTTCTTTTCTTTCAATGTAGTTGGAAAACAGAGCCTAGAAGTAAATAATTATATAGATAATATTTTTATAGATTCATTTTCATACAATATTTTTAGATGGATAGTAAATATATTGTATACTATTCAAGAAAGAAAATCTGATTGCTTCGGAAGAATGGAAAAAAGTCCTTTCAGTTTAATTACACAATCTTTTTATATAATGAAGATGGATTACCACTCTCTCCCTAGTATTTTATAGTTACAACCGCTTGTTCACGCATTTTATGAACACAATAATACAGAATAGTAATATTTGACTCTGATCATCTGTTTGGTGTGAAGGCGCGAAAAAAGTATACACCTTATCTATTAAAGTAGAATTTAATCATAATTCAAGCATGCAAGATATGTACGAAATAATTTAATATTAGGGTCACTTACAACATTATGATTCTGTTCTGCTAATTTTAATGTAAAATCTAATATATTGTTTGAATCGTTCGTTGAATCTTTCCCTAAAAACAGAATTGTACACATCAACAAAAGAAATCACAATACTTAGGTCTAAATTATTATCATTAACAAAAAAAACATATGTCTTATTGGCGAGTCGGACGAGCCTACCGAAGAAATGTTTTCAAAATCAACAAAAAATAATTTGTCACCTAATACAATAGGGATGATGACGGGGTAGAATAAACGAAATTCTATTTAGTCCGTCCGTTTCAGTTACATTATAAAAAAATAATGGACACTTAGAATAAGAACTTGTTCGCGAGTTTAGTCACAATTGGGCATTCAAACACGCTGCATATGCACTCAATATAACAATATTGCGTATATTCTCTGTTATAAAGATAAAACAATGCCTTCAATGCTTTTATAAAGAACACAAATAGTTCAAAATCATATAACAAATGCCCCGGCAATATTTTTCATTCGTAAAGCTGTAAAAACATTTTTTTCTCAAAACTCACGGTTTGTCGTGAATGTTATTTACGTAATCGCCATTTTGTTATCAAGAAAAAGACAACAATACTCGGAACTAGACTAGACAACTAGACTCGGAAGCGGACTCGTCGTTTCGCTCGCGGTGCTTTAAAGCGTACAGTTCTGTTTCAATGTCCAATTGTGACTAATGCGAATTGTGGTCATGTCATGCACCACTACCAATTTAAGCGGATCACTTTTGATCCGCGAGTGCCGTATATTCCCTTTTTGTTTTAATCTAAGGTAACAGAGCGACCAGAGCGACGTGCATCTTCGACACCAAAATTTCCAGATTGCTTAAACCAAATTTTTGCTACTCTCATAGACACTGCACTAGATCCATTAATCTCACAATTTTGTTTCGCAGCTTGCGTTGCATTTTTACCTTTTATGTAGTAAATTTTTAAAATGTATCGAATTTCTTCATTAGTTTCACTCGTCTTGACAGTAAAAAAAAATAAATGAAAATCACACATTTTTGAAGTGAAAACTACTTTAGCACCGTTGTGATTTGAGATTCGATGAAACGGAAGTAGCGTGTTTGACACAATATAGGTATGCCTAATTTTGCCATTTACTATAAGAGACTAATAGCGAAACAACAACGGTCTAGGTTCGACACCAACTGATCGGTGCTTCGATCCTGAAATCGGCATTTATTTTTTATTGTTTTTTTCTTTTATTAAGCTATTATTGATTTTTTGAAACAATTTAAATATAGATTATACATATAAATATAGATTAAAATAATTTATTATTATGTTTACACATGTAGTTATTTACAGAATCTACACACTCATTTTATGATAACTAGTAAAATAGTTTTTCAGCTTTTTTATTCGTTAAAAAATGGACTTACCTATAACAGCACCACCTGTGATAAACTGATGTGATAGATACTGCAAAACAGAATGTGTGCGGCTCATGAGTTGAGTGTCATCAGATCGACTTTTCATTTGTAGTTCCGCCATTATATCATCGGGTACCATCAATTGACATTGCTCATCTGAATGAAAAACACGAGTATGACCAGGTGGGATCCTATGATAATTATGAATAGGATCTTACACGCAGCATTAAAAAAAAACAAAACAAAAAAGAAAATTTATTATGTTCGGAAAAGAAAATAAGATGTAAGTATGAATAGGATCTTACACGCAGCATTTAAAAAAAAAACAAAACAAAAAAGAAAATTTATTATGTTCGGAAAAGAAAATAAAATGTAAGCTATAGGTAGACCGCTTAACTGAGTCCTTGCCTGCGGGGTAAAGAGTGTGGGGGAGAACAAAAACGGGGATCATAAGAGGTGCAGGCGGCAGGAACATTCTTGTCAAAATAGCAAGTGCCCGCCACCCGCACCTCTCACGGTCCCCGTTCTCGTCTGCAGGCAAGGACTCAGTTAAGCAGTGTACCTATAGATGTGGTGTTATAGACATATCAATTCTACAAAAAGCAAAATCTCACATTGTCATTAGGTAATAATGGAAAAACAGTGGTACTGTTTTTATTAAATACATTTTAATAAGAATAACAGGAACAGTCTAACAGGTGTTGCGACATCAGAAATCTCGTCGTGAACATGGTTCATTGCGGACTGCCGTGTTGGGGAAATAAAAATGGATTTTGGAGGGCTACGCCTGCAAGAGAATTTTTTCCCTTGGGTTAGTGGCTGATGTTAAGTGTGAGTGGAGTCCAGTCGCGAAGATAGTCTGTTGCAGACGCTTCGCCACACCTGCGCGTAATATAGAGACTACGCGGGAAAAAACCGGAGTTTGCGCTACCGCACACATACGAGGTAGGCTTGTTGAAAATATATCGATGTATCGATATATCGATATTTTTTGTTCGATATATCGATATTTTTTGCCGATATATTTTGATTCGATATATCGATACAAAATAACCAATATCGAAATTCGTATCTGGAAAAATCGTAACTAGATCTCAGATTAATGATATTCAACATATCTATGATCTGTGCTGTATTTAGTATTGTCTATTATTTGTAAATCTGTTTCGCTGGTGAATTGGTTGTGCTGATTTCCATTATATTCTGTGGAAGTGTGTGAATGTCTAGTCGTGTTTACGAAAGATGGCACCTGAGAGGCCCTGGCATTGGCATTTTCATCATACGAAAATAGGGTCTATTTTTAGGGAGATAATTTTCGTTTCATTATTATTCCGCGTGTCATATTTCGTGAGATACTGTACTGTCATGTAGTGTAGCGGCAATTTGGTACTTTGATAATTCTTTCTTTAATTATAATTTGTATTGAACTATTATTACTATGCTAGGCTGACCTAAATATATTTTTGGAAAAATTGGCCCGATATATCGATATTTTTTTTCGCGATATATCGAAGCCGATATTGATATTTTTTAAAATATCGATGTATCGATATATCGATATTTTTTTCAACTTTCGACATCCCTAATACGAGGTCATGAAAATGGTGTTTGTACAATTACTTCGTAATAAATTCGTCATTGCGAATGCGAGGATGCCCTTTTAGGCTTCAGGCTGCAAAGGAGAATTACATCTATGCCTCCGTAAAGACTCAGCCCGGTCCGTGTAAGTTGAAGAGAGAAGGAGAGAAAAGGAGAACATAGAAAAGACGAGGATAAGACACGCGCTCGGGACCTTAGCCAAATATCGTCGAGGAATCTAGGTAAGAAGGTGCATATATGGAGATTATCTGGCACATATTAGCGAGGAACATTCGACTAAGTATAGCGGAACTTAGACTGTTAACCGCGGAACTGAGGAGGTTATTCTCAGTCGTGCCGAGAGTGAGGCAATGAGAGGAGAGTTGGATTGAACACGGACGGAGGTAAGGCCGTTGAGGAGCTGAAAGGCTCCCTTATCACTCGCTCGAGGAGATGAAGGGCGACCAAGTTTGAGGCTAGCCTGTAGCCACAAAATAAGCCCCCTGCGGCAAACAAAGAACGAAGAATGGCAGACGCCTGCCTTAGGACTCGCTGGGAAGAAATTGAGTTTCGTGGCTCACAGAAAGTCCAAGATGAAGGAAACGAACAGGATGGTCGCAGCCCAGGCTTCTACAAGACAAGCAGAGAAGACTGCACTAACGCCCAACCCAAGGAGACAGTGACTACTGAAGGATCTAGACCTTGAAGAGTAATTGGATAGGAATGCGAACAGTTATCAACAGTTAAGAAATTATGCAAATTGCGATAAAATGGGCAAAAATGTGTATCTATATTGGCGGTAACCAATTCACAAAATACATGTTTTCACAAATATTTCCATCACTCTACTTTTTTTTAATTTAGTAATTAAGTTGCCGCGGTTTGTCATCATGGCTCGGTCCTCCTATACCGACAAACTATTAAACAAAACTTGTAACCAAGTCCACAGCCACCGCACTCAGTGGTCCAGCTGCCTAGCTAGCTGTCTCGCCAGGTTGTGTTAGCAAAATCTTATAAATTATTCGCCTAGCCCTCATCGGCCATAACGTCCGACAAGGAACTTCGTACCAATAAATGCTAGTGCTCCAAAAAGTAACTCGCCGTGTTGGCGGGAAATAAACTAATATTAAATAGCTTATGGCTATATCAATGCTGCATTCAAATTGAGGTGAACAATACACGAGCCGCCAACCGCGGCGGAGAACGGAGAAACTAGTGCCGCCTAGAAGCGCGGGTGCTCTTGCGGATATCGCGCGGACGGTTTGTAGATGTGCAATAGTCTTATTGCAGTGATACCGTCAATGTGTCACTGTGTCTACAGTGTGTTTAAATATACAATGCGTTTTTTTGAGAGAATTATTTTCACATACAGTAAAACTTCCTTATTCGTGGGGTATACGTTCCAGAAATATGCCGCGAATACAGAAACCGTGAATATGGAGTGGTAATTTATATGAAATTATAGGGGATACGTTCCAAAGCGGCAAAAAAACAACAATATTTTTAACTAATCAATGAATTGAAATTATTTTTTGTCAGGCTTAAGCAAGCGTTTAAAGAACTATTAATGTAAACGGTAAAACTGATATTTAACAACGTCGAAACTAATTTTATCTTTGTCGAAATTATAATTTAGGAGCACAGCGGAAGAGACGAGTTACTCGATCACAATTTTTGGAATGAATGAAAAGAGGAGTGAGTAAACCACGCAAAGCGGATATGGTGGAGCGTCTAACTTACATATGTGATATTATCATATGATATGATACTAATACATATAACAATATATTTTAGGTATATAATAATAAGATTGTTTTACATAAACATTATTCTGATTGTTTACTATCTCAAACAGCGTCTCATATCAAAAGAAAAGGCGAAACCATCTTATGCACCGGCGATAGCATTTGACAACATACCGTAGACTGAGTTAAAATAAGGTCTATTTTATATATTTTATAATTACTCCATCTGCCGATGCGTTAACAAAGGTAACCACATCCTATATATTTTGATTAGATCCGCGAATAACGAAATTGTTTACAGCGAATATGGGAATTTGGTCGCAATTTTTTAATCCGCGAATAGTGAAAACGTGAATATAGGAAGCGTGAATAAGGAGCTTTTGTTACAGGCTGGCTAAGAAGTTAGTCCTGTCTATAAACTGTCATGTTTCTATAAAAAATAAAATGTAAATTCAAAATATGACAGTCTAGTAAAAATATTGTGACAATCAGTGTGGATATTCTAATGTGCTAAAATAATAATAAACAAATCTAATAAATAACTTTATAAAATCAAGTGTGAAGTGTTCAGTGTATTTAGTGACGTTCTTAGTCTGCATATACCATCGAGTTGAACAACGCTCTGCTACTTAAACGTGAGTACTACAACAATCACAGGTTGTTGGTTCATGCACGAGAATTCACTGTAAAACCCTAAGAATGGAGCTAAGTAGAACACAAATTGGAGTTCTCGAGGGAAAGAGTAACTGGCCCACTTGTAAATATAAGATTAATATAATCTTACGTGGCATTGAAAATTGCTTACCCATAACCGAGGGTAAAATACGTAAACCGACATTACCTTCAGGTGCAGGAGATGCAGAATTAGCCAATTATAATGCAGAACTTGCAAAATTTCTCAAGGCCGAAAGTACAGCCCTCATTATTATAACATCCAATCTAAGTGAACCCACACTAAAGAAAGTTATGCGATATCAAACGGAACACGAGGTATGGAACGAACTTCATCGTCTGTTTGATGGACAAGCAGAAGATAGAGCGTATTCACTCTGCTCAACATTCTTTTCATACAAGTATAACTGTGAGGATGACATGTCAACGCATCTATCCAAATTGAAAAATCTCTGGACCGATTTAAATCACGAATTATCGAATGGAGATGTTACATTCAAACTGCCGGAACTGTTTTTAATTTGCAAGATTGTTGACTCTCTGGATGAGCGATTTTTTCCCTTCAAGTCCAGTTGGATACTTGTAAACAAAGCTGAAAAAACAATAGAAAACTTAACGTCACACCTCTGTGCATTTGAAAGCACATTAAAATACAAAGAAAAGTCCACAGAAGAGTCGAGAGAAGAGACATTAGTAGTAAAGACCAAATTCGATACTTCGAAAAGAAAGGCAAGCTTTTGCAATTATTGTAAGAAGAGCGGTCACCGCATCCATAACTGCAAGAAATGGATACGAGATGGCAAGCCTCCGAAGCCTACCCCGTCTACGTCAGAACAAGTCACCAACATTACTCTAATGGCATGCAACTCGGGAAGTGCTAAGGATGTCGACAATTGGTACGTCGACAACGGGGCCACCAGTCATACAGCCATAAGGCGCGATATTTTTGAAAAATTCAAAGAGTTCGACAGTCGCCACACTGTCACCACAGCTGACGGAACACTTATCCCTGCTGTTGGAAAGGGCACCGTGGTAGTTCAGTCTGACAACAAAAACTATCGCATGGAACTTGCTGACGTTTGGTTCGTACCAGCATTAACCCGGAATCTATTCTCCATGCTGGTCGCACAAGATAATCTACCCAATAGTCTCTTCACACTT